GAGAAATATAATGCATGGGTGGGTTTTTTTTTTTTTCATAATTTTGAGGCCTACAGATTAGAAAATTGAAGAACTAAGCTAAAAAGTTTCAAACAAAAAATAAATAAATAAATAAATAAATAAATAAATAAATAAATAAAAAAGTTTCAAACACAATTATATTTTGGTTACTTCATCTTTCTGTCATCATCCACAAACCCTCAAGGTATTAGTAATAAAGTCACAGGTAACCTGAAACTTTTTTTGTAAAAACAGTATATCAAATAAAGCTTGCCAGTCTTTAGAAATAATGCCAAGTATCTCTCCCCACCCCATTGTGCTATTTAAGTTTCCTGCCTTTGCAAACCCAGATATAATGTGAGGATGAAAAAAGAAAGATGTTGAAGCCAGAAATAGTATCATTAAATAGGGCCTAGGGTCCCTGTGGAATGTAATGGGTTAGAGAGAGTGACATTATATGTAATTAAGATGTCTAGGGTTTGTTTCAGCCCCAGGGGACAGATGCAAAATATACAGCTAATAATAACAATGGTTAAATAACAATAATCCAAGTTCTTCTTGGATCTCAGAGTTGTTTTCTTTTTTTTTATGCTACATAACTGTTGTCTGGATAGCAACAAAAACAAGTTAAATGAAGGAAAGGTTACTTGACTTAGGACCAAATGCTAACTTCAGACCTGGAATCAGGTGATCCTACACATGGCTTCACCTCTCTCAAGAAGCAAAGTCCCCCTCTACTCTCCCTTCTTATCAGGAACAAATAGAAGGACCTACAGACTTAGGAAGCAATGGTGACTGAGGAGTACATCCTGGCTTTTAACAGGCGGGAGAATGTAGTCTGTCCTTGCTCTGTATAAGATCTCCCTGAACATTTGAAGAACAAATTGGTGAACCAGCATATACCCTCTATACACAGATCACGATGTTAAGAGCTGCGGGAGATGGATATTTTAACACTATAAGAGCAGGCTTCTGTCCTCAAGGAAATTAAAATTTAGCTGGGGAAAAAATCCACAAACATCAATTAGGGAATTGTATGTCATAATTCATGATTAAGTAATAAATTAATGTCATAGCTGTTCAGAGAAGGAAAATTAAAATGAGAATAATTGGGAAAGACTTCATGGAATTCATGCACTTTGGGCTTTGAAGATGTTACCAGAACTAGTCTCAAGTGGGTATGCAAGGGGAAGAATTGGCACCGTGCATGGAATTGCATGTTTGTAAAATGACCTTTATGGCTTTCTTTTCCCCTCTTTTGATTTTTTATTAATAAAAAAGGAACATATTTTCTATGACCTGGAAAAATGTATAAAATAAGGTTGACAATTTAATAAATTTGGCATTCTTATTTTCTAGACGATCTTCAGTTCTTCCTAGATTTTGGGGAGGAGTAAATTTGAAATAATAAGAGAAAAGTAGGGAGGCTGCAGTACTTAAGACAAGCTGGTAGCAGAGTGGTAACTACTAATAATGATGGATGAAGCAGAACGCTGAAGGCTCAGCAATCTGGACCCATTTAATGCCTGGAAAATGCAACCGTACTCTTTCTATCCACTCATCCCTAATAACTGCAGAATGCATCATAGCTCCCAGGAGTGTATTTCCTCTACTTATTCCAATATATTTTTTAAAGGAAGAAAAATTAATGAAGGGAAAATAAAGAAATAAAAATCATTTTCTTCATTCATTCATTTACTCTAAAATTTTTTATTGCATACCTACTACTGCTTTAGGTGCTAGAGACACAGCTGTGAACAAAAGAGATAAATTCCTGACAATTTTGGAGTGTTTGTGTCAATAGAAAAGAATTCTCACCCTGGCCAGTTTTCTCAGTGGTTAAAGCGTTGACCCATTGACCAAAGGGCCTTGGGTTCCATTCCTAGTCAAGAGCACATACTTGGGTTACAGGTTCCATCCCCAGCCCCAGTTGGGGCATATGTGGGAGGCAACCAATCGTGTCTGTTTCGCTTGTGCTCTTGTGCTTGCATTTTCGCTCCCCCCACCTCTCTCCGCCCCCCCCCCTCCCACCTACCTCCCTCCCTTCTACTCTGAAAATCAATGGGGAAAAATATCCTCGGGTGAGGATTTTTTTTTTCTTAATTTTCTCCATTTTAGGATTTTTAGAAAGAATGAGGTAAACAAACCTTTGGATATACCTTAGCTCTAATAGTGAAAGTCAACCTAGATTTTTTTAGTATATCCCACAGGGAAAATTCGCCTCTCTGACACTGAGTCTAGACATGTAGCCTTTCTCTGCTGGTTCCTTTTCAGGAACTCCTCTCCTTGTCTTTCCAGTTAGCCATCAATTCTCTTCTGCTTTACGGAGCTGGCCTTCCTCGGCTCTTTCTCCAGCTCTCTTACCTGGGCGAGACATTCTCTTTTCCTCCATTCCCCCATTGTCTATTTTCCCCAAACTCCAAAAGGTCACACACCCACACAAATACAAAACCCAAAAGTAGTTCTGTGATTCCTTCCTCCAGGGAGGGAGGGGTGTGGGGAGCTAAGAACTGAGGTCCTGGCTTGCGTCTTCAAGTGGGCCCTGCCCTGGGCGGGAGCCACGGAGGACATTGCTGACTCATGGCCAGGGGGCCCTTCAGGGAATGAAAACATGTGTTCTGGTTCTCACGCTTCTTTTAAAAGGAAACCTAAAACCTTTTATTTTTCTTGAATGAATTATTCTAGTTTTGCTCTGAGACCACAGTTGCTGTTTTATTTTCAGTTGTCTTTTTCCACAGCTCCATTTAGAAATAAAAATGGGAAACGTTATCTGGCCCCTAGGAAGAAATATGTACATACATTCAAAAAGCAGTTTCATGCAACCTTAATAACCTGACTTCTATTTCCCTTTCTGTACATGATGGATGAAATTACTTTGATTATGCGGGCTTCCCAATTACTCATTCATGCCAAGAATGCTAGCCCTTGAAACCTAGTCACCTTGTTTATTTCTTCCCCACCTCGCCCTTCACAATCAGAAAATCAAAGAACACTGGAGCCGGAAGGAGCTCCCTTGATCCCCACAGGAAGGATTACGCTTAAAAGTCATACATATTGATTGACCTGAGTTGTCTAAAATTAAACCTAAGGAACTATTTCCATTCCAACTTTTAAGCTGTAGAAACTGATTTGGAATTACAGAGTTTCAAGGCATATGAAAGGCTTGGTAAATATACAACCTGGTTGCCAAAGGGTTTCTACTTAATATATCAGGGAAAGATTTATTCTCCTGTGTTCACTTTATTCCTTAATACACACCAGTGGCATTCAAATTGTGCTCCTTGGAGTCTGAGGGTCTACCACTGACAGAACGGAAGGGGCATTGGGTTTGCAGGCTCCACCCTTTCCCCTCCTGCTTTGACCAGAGACCCTCCTCTTTTTCTCTCTTAGGGTCGGATTCTCATTTATATTTTAAAGTTCATATAAAAACTACTACACAAAAAGGAAAAAATAAAATATTTTGAAAAAGAAAGGAACTTACACAACAAATAAAATGGTGCACAAATGAAATACAAAAAGTCAACCATATCCATCATTTTCCCATAGGCTGGGGCTAACAATTGGTCCTGAAGTCAGGATTGGGCTGACCTCCCAGTGCATCCCTCTCCTTGACTGGCTCTTTAGCACCAAGCACCAGGGTTCACCACTGACTGCCCTAGGAGCCAACGCAAAGCCACAGGCACTCTGGCTACTTAGATCATCTGTTTCTAGTATATAGTTACTACTTTACTTATCCATTCAACAAACACTTAATGAAGGGCTCAAACAATAAGACATGATACCTGGAAGCAACACACGTTTAGTCTAGTGGGAAGACAGACAAGCAAAAAAAAAGTATATTATAATGATGCCATTGTAATAACCTGGTTATTATTTAACAGGAGGAAAGGAAGACTAGAAATATACATGCCATTTATACAGCTTTGCCAAAAAAGCTGCATTTAACATTCTCCAAGTCTGTTCCCTGCTGATTGATGGGGGAAAGGACTAGACAAAGGCCATTCAGCAATTTAAGCACATACCCAGTAAAGGTCTGAGTGGCGTGGGAAGGTGCCTACCTGTCTGCCAGTCATCCCTGGGAACAAATTAGTGGCCAGGATGGGCATGGCCATTGCAAATGCAGGACATCTGAATATTTAAACTTCCAAACGGAGGGAAGTTCTCCGCTCTCTCTTGACTCCTATGGCAGGGGGATGCGCTCCCCTGTGCGCACGTGGCGCACGGCCATGTTGGACTCCACACAAGGACTAATGGACTTTAATTCGCTTGGATGCTGAACCACACCCAGCTGCAACATGGAACGGGAGCTCTGGACACTGGCTTGTTTGGGCTCTGCTGGAATCCCAGCTGCACCTTGTCCAGGACTGGCCTAAGGGGCAGGCAACTTTGGAACCTGAGAAATATAACTCCATGCAAATAAAGCCTCTTCCAACCCCAACGTCCTGTGGGGGCTTATTTCAGCAGCACCCCAAGAGCCCCCACCTCGCTCCCCCAACAACAGGGAAGTTCAATTCTCCAGTAACAACAGTATGTAAAAACAAGATGACCATTATTGCAATGGGAGATGTGTAAGGTAGAGTGAAGAGCCATGCCCTAGAAGAGTCAGGGAAAACCTCACAAAAAAGCCTCAGCAGCACTCCAAGTCAAAGCACAAAATGTGAGGAGTGGGAGGGGGCAAGCAGGTGCCACCATGAAAGGTCACGCCACACGAAGGGCTACAGAGTCTATCCTGTGGGAAATGGGTATTGGACATGGATAGTTTCCTCATTTGCCCAGAAAATTTTTTTCCCCTTTAGCCATTCATTCATTCAATAAATGCCAACTCTGGGCCAATCACTGCTCTAGCCATAAAGACACTTTATGAAGTCATCTAAATTCCCTGAGGCTGCAGATCTGCTGCCACTGCCCACCCACACCCCCCGCCCCAGCCCAGCTTTTTGGGGTGAGCCACCCCTTGGAAGGCTCTAACTTCTGGTCATTCCCTGAGCAAATACTCTTACCTATGATTGCATCTGGCTTGTGGGATGGGGATTTTCCACCAAGAATCAGCAACGGAATTTGTTTTCTTACTGCAGAAATAGATAACACAAGTAAGGAAAAGAGTTAAAAAGGAGACTCTTGAAAATATTTAAAATAGCTGCTCAGCATTGAAAATCAGCTTAAGGGATGGCAAATGCAAATGTGAGCTCAGGCAGGCCCAGCTCAGTTCTGCAAATCCTTTGGTAATGAAAATAGATCCGCACTTTAATTTTTCAAACCATAAACCTCCCCAAAGCAAGTAAGAAAAGAGAAGAAACAGAAGGGAAATGTTCTATAAGAAAGTGGATTTTGCATTTGATGTTTTGATGGAACTCAGGCAGGCCAGGACTCCCCAAAACCGTGAAGTAGGCAGGGTCTGGCTGGTACCCCTGGGTCCTGTTCTCCACTGTCAATCAGGTTGGGGGCATCCATTTCCAAGGTCCTTAGCTGCCCAGCATCATCTCACCTCCCTCCCATCTCCAGCCATCACATGGAACCCTGCTGTCTCGATGGACATAGTATCGTCACATACACTAAGGTATAAATGACTGATAATAGCTTTAAAATGCCATTTCTTCTACAGGGTATTTGCATTTTAACAGAGTACAAAACTTCATGCCGAAGGGAAACTCCTCCGGATGTGAACCTATGAAAAGAGTTTATAGTTGTTTTTTAGCTATTTCTCCGCAGTTACCAGGCAGGAAGTAGCTGCTTGATTGCGTAAAGAGGGAGAAATTGAGACTTACACACCAGTGAGTCAGACCTAGAGTATATTTGTGGTGGAAAGATAAAAGGAGGGGCAGCTCACATGGCTTCTCCAGTGCTCCGAGCCTGCAGACCCCCCAGCTCCCCTCAGGTGGCTTCCCACTGAGTTTGAGGCGCTGCGCCTCCCTATGGACCCATTTCCCTACGTTCCAAAGGAAGGATTTCCAACACTCCCGTGGCACAGCATCTCAGCAACTGCTCTGCATCCACTGAGCCCCAACATCTTGAACGCAGCCTTGGGGTAGAAAGGTGAGGTGGGGAAGGGAGGGGACTCTATCTCAGGCCCAGAACAAGGGTGATAGCTGCTCCTTATATCTGCTATGCCTGTATTCTTTAGGTTCTCTTTACATCTTATTGGCTAATCCCTCATTGCCCCAATCCCCTACTAAAATTAGTAATTCCTTATATTAAGTAAATAAAGTGCTTTTTCTTTTGCCCTGACCTTGATAAGTTACCAAATTCTGCTCCCCTCCCCCATTCCCTTCCCTATTCCATCAGCAAAGAGGTAATGCTCCTGCCAAATGATTCGGACAAAGCCAGAACATCTGCTTCTAAGGCTCTTATACAATTTTCTGACATATGAAGTTACTGCCTCGAGGCAACATTTCTGAGGGTGTTACCTTCCTCATGGCTTATATACTGAAATGGATTCAAATATCCTAAATTTCTGGTGCAGTGGGGGGATGCAAACATACTTACTGGCCTTTCCTATGTTGCAGAAAATCTAGGGGAAAAGTCCAGGGGGTAGGAAAACAAAATTAGAGCAGCCTAAATGTATCTACCGAAAACACGCTGAAGAACTCAGGAAATGACGAAGACAGAGAGTGACCTGAGTGCTGGAGAAAGTCATGACGAAGAGAAAGAGATTTCAAAAATTAGGGATTTCGACATTTTCAAGGAGACCTTAGTAAGTAATACTACAAAGTATAAATTAAATCTCTCTTTAATTCTTCAAGCGATGCAAGCAAAGACTGAAATTACTTTTTCTTATGGTTGGTGACCGTTTCTTAAAATACAAAGAAAGCCACTGGGTTCTTGCCATATTCAACAGTCTAGCCAAGGTTGTCCTAACACTGCAAAACGCTTATTCTTTCAAGTGACCCTACAGAAAAGCCCTGAAATTCTACATCTGAACCTAGAAGATGAAATTTCTTAATGGGGATCACACTGAACTCTCTTAACCTGAGCCCAGGACCTATAACCCCTCCAAAGGAAGAGCCTGCTTTCCAACCCAAGTATCCACCAAGGATTGACGCTCATCATTCTATGTCAGCCTGTAAGCCCCTCTCTAGTTTTGATGGGCTTCTTTCAACATGACAAATGCTTTCTCAACTAATGGGTAAAGATTAGCACTGTATAACAAAGATCACCTTATATACGAACACTAGTGAATCATCCCCACAGGCCAGACCTTCCCATTGACCCAGGTTTATTTCAAACTAGTTCAGTGAGCATGTAGTGACCTATTACAAATCCAACTGTACCAAAAACAATGAGAAAGTAAATATATTTTACTTTGTTTTTAAAGGCAGATGGGCAGTGAACCACACAACCTCTGGTGCCTTTTGCTTTTCGTCTTTCCATATTTACTTCCTGTCCTGCTACCCAAGCAGGTATTCTACTCATGACTTACAAAAGGATAGCAGGGCCTGCCCCTCCCCTTCTTACTTCCACCAGCCCTCAGTATCTACACAGTCTCAGCTTCAACCAACATTAGAACTCCTTCAATGTGGTGTCCCCAATACTGGCTTCTCTAGTCCATTATCACATCTTTCTAGATCGTCCACAATGTGTTGTTTTATTTTAACCAACTCTGCTGCATCATATTTGGACTAGGCTGAAAAGTAGATTCTCTCTCCCACCACTCTTCCTGCCAAGGAGTAGCAATTTGTTTTGTTTCTTACAATCCCATTAATCCATGACTTCCCCACCCCTAGCATGGAGCCAGGCCATTATTGTCAATTCCCTGCTATGTTTATCATTTTTAAACCAGAAGCTCTCATTTTATGCCATTATTGAAAGGAGTTTTAGGGATAAAATAGGCAGGTTTAGGGAGTTTTAGAAATAAAGAGGGTCCATGGGGAAGGACTGCACAGGTGAGAGCTTAGAGCTGCCAAAAGGCATACATTCACAGAGGGGAGGAAAAAAAAAGAGGTGCCACGGGATAAGGGGAGAGGAAGACATCCATTCACAGGAGATAGGGGAAAGCGCAGGGTATTGTGAGAAAGAGGAAACAAACTTTCACAGGGGATAGAGAAATGCTGGCAAATGAGAGAAAGAGGAGAACAGGTTTTCACAGGAGACAGAGAATTCTGAAGGGGGAGAGAATGAAGGGGGCACCACATGGGGTTTGAGCTTTAAGCTGATACAGTGACCAACTGGAAGGCAATATAAAGAGACAGACTGCAGCCTTTATAAATCTTAGAAAAAGGAGCTTGATGGGTTACCCCCTTTGAACCCCCTCCCTACGTGGGAGTCTGTACTTGCTTCCGATAAATTTCGGCCCTTTTCATCTATTACCTTTGTCCATGGCTTCATTCTTTGAATCCATCTGGACAAGAACCTGGGAAAGAAACCACCCTTGCACTCTGCTCAGGAAAAACAACCCGACTCATTATTATGATTCGTCCATTTCCCTAAAGCCCCTTCACCAAAGTAAATATTCACCAAACTGCTTCTGCCTTTCTCCGAATCAGAGGAAACCTTGGTAACAAACAGGTAAGTATGGAATGCAGGAAAAGCTTTGAGAACAAGTCAATTCATTTTATGCCCCTAACTCAGAGACCCCTGTGGCAACCCCTGCTGACCGGCTAATGCAACATCCACACCCGATTCCTTGCTCCTTTTGTCCTTCAGTCCTTTCCACTACAGAACACGGAATGATCAAGTAAGCACCTTCCAGGCTCCTCTACAGTGAGGATAGCCATATGGCACAGGTCTGTTCAAAAAGGTGTAGCAGCAACCTACTGAGGGAAGGGTCGCCCTGGGAAGGCTTTTGGTTTCCTGATAAGAGAGGCAAATACAGCTGTCCTTGTCTCATCCCTCCCTCCTTCCAATCTTTCTGCTTTGAAGGTGAGTGTTATACCTGATTCTGGGGTGACCAGTTAGTGACAAAAGGCAACAAGTATACTGCAAAACTCACCCTGACACTGTCAAGCTGCTGAGCCAACTCCGGCAGCTGCCTGCCTCCCTGACCTTTTGTTATATGAGCCACTAAAAACTGGGTTTTCTCTCACATGCAGGCAAAAGCATTCCTACTTGACATACCAGGGCCACCAAATGTCTTCCCAGAGCTACCTTTAGAAGTGTCTTTATCCCTTTCCCACTTTGAAAAAAAAAAAGGCCTTTATTTAATAGTCTTTATTTTTCTGAAGAGTAAATTATATTTTTTACATTTCAGCATGATGCCAGGAAAGAATTTCTAGATTTTGTGCACTTATGAATTTAATAATATCACTACCTAACATTATGTTATATAATTACTATAATTATATTTATTCTTAATAAATACATTAAAATTATTGTCAAGATATTAATTTTACTGTCATATATATATTTTTACTCCATAAAATTAATATCATATTGTATGTTACTTATATTTTGTTGCTATTACTTTATTATTATATTATAAAATCTATTTGTTGTTGTTTTTTAAATATATTTTTATTTATTTTAGAGAGGAAGGAGAGAGAGATAGAAACATCAGTGATGAGAGAGAATCACTGACTGGCTGCCTCTTGTACCACCACCTCCCCCTCCCTCTGGGATTGAGCCTGCAACCCTGGCATGTGCCCTGACAGATAATCAAACCATGACCTCCTAGTTCATAGGTCGATGCTCAAGCACTGAGCCACATCGACCAGACTATTTGTTATTTTTCTTCCTCATTAGAATGAAGACAGTACCTAGAACAGTGCCTGGCAACAAGTAGTCATGCCATACATGTTTGTTGAATAAATAAATGAATCTTACCCCCCCCCCCAAAACTGCTATTTAAAATTAGCCTGTTTCAAGGGGAAAAAAATCAGTAAGTGTGTTATTAAGGGGTCAGTTTAAGTAAAGGGTTCATCCTGACATCCTACAGAGGCAGCCTTTTAAATGCTGGTAATTGGTTTTAAAAATAAATTACATTATTTTGTTATTTAAATTCCCCATAGGCAATTAGACTTCTGTTTTTAAAATGGGTGTCTGGGAAAATAAGTCACTTCAGTAGACTCCTGTCTTGACCATGGTACTTCTTAAATACCATGTCTGGGGCAGAGAGTCAAACACAAGGCGTTCTCTT